CCACCGCCAACTCTTGGGCGACTCTTTTAGCAACGAATAGTGGAATGGGCCGTCACATTATAACGTCCCCACGGCTGAAAGAGCGAGCGTGTTTGGTGTGATGGGGATTCGAACCAGGGACCCTCAGATTACGAGTCGAGCGCCCCTAACCACCTGGCCATACCGGGCCCACATTTTATGTTAAATATTTCTGTGTTTGACAAAATACACATACTTGTATTTTCTCAGGTTTAAGCCATTTACCAATGATTCTGATAAGTTTTTAACTCCAGTTATTAAATATTGGCTCAAAGCCTACAACTGTTTTTAAAAAAATGACAGGAGACAACGTGAGACTGAAGAGGACACACGAATGTGTCGAAACTTGTTTCTCCAATATCTGACAGTCTATTCCGTTTACGCTAGAAACCGGGTTTCTATACCCGTGTTGGGCAGAGCACAGATAGCCCATTGTGTAGCTTTGTGTTTAACTTCAAACAAACAAACTATTCAGTTTACAGTGGCTTTTTTTTTGTTCTCTGACTGCTACACACGATATTGTGTTATTTTGAATCTTTAAACAGCCAACTAAAATATAAAATATTTTCAATCAGTTAAGTATTATCTAAAAAAAAAGATCTTTTTTCATTATTTAAAAATCGAAATGCAAAAGATAAACATCAGTTTTTACCTAAATAATAATCAAACAAAATACGATTCTATTTTGGCCAATAATCATCTGTATAGCTTTTACAACACTCTTTAAAAAGCATGTATTTTGTGACAGTAATAGTAAAGTGTCATCTAATGCTAAGTTGTGTTACTCTTGATCCAGTCTAAGAAGTCAACCACTCGTGTGTAAACACCAGGGAACCCAGGTGCGGCGCACTTGTGTCCGAAACGACGAAATGCCAACCAAGAAGTAACAGCCGTCCACATTTAACATGAGTGGACCTCCAGAATCTCCCTGAAGGAAATATTATTACAAATACTTTTTATAAATAGTAATATTGAAATAAATAAAAGAAAAATATGGTCCCTAAAATAACAGTCTTGGGTTGGTTAAAAACAATATTGTATCTAAATATTTATGTTTTCTTATTTTACATTTATAAAGACTTACAACATATTAAGAACCAGCAAAATAAATACATTTATAAACAGGTCAAATAAAATTCGGTGGTTCGGTGATGGGCACACAGCACAAGCAACCTAACGCGCAGCTTGTAATCTGATTAACAATGTTTGTTTTAGTACAAACCAACACAATAAGCTATCTGCGATCTGTCCATAGCAGGTAATGAAACCCCGGATTTTAGCGTTCTCTAACACATCTTTTTTTGACATTAGGATTACACTTTATGAAAAGATTAAAAATAAATACTCTCAGAAACCAACAAATTACGTTTTGTCAAGTGTAAGTGAAGAGAGAGAGAGAGAGATGTAGTGGACCTTTAATTAGTAATCATTTGACGAAATAATTAAATTGGAAGAGGGTTTCATTTTAGGTTAGTAATAAATCAGTTTAATTTATTTTTTTTCATAATTTAAGGTACGAGCTGAAAGTTATATTACATTATATTTTACATATTCCACACAAAACCTTTTTATTACTTAATAAATTTAGAATAAATATGGAGGTAATATTAAATATCTCACTGAAAGCCGATGGGCAGATGGTTAGGGTTTGGTGAATTAGGAAAGCAATAAACAATGCTCTCTGTTTCTTGGCTCCCCCCCCCCCCGTGGGACAGCGGTAACTTTACGGACTTACAACGCTAAATTCCGAGGTTCGATTCCCCGCGATGGACACTGCAGATAGTTAAAAGTAGCTTTGCTCTAAAAAAGAAACAACTTCTGTTTCTTTATAAACAAAACAACCCGAAACTTAAAAGAGGTTTAAAGTCTTAACAGGCTTTTAGCCTATATCAAGAGCATCAGTGTGCTCTTCTTATCCAGTCAGGATTCAGTAATTCCAAAAACAACACATTTAAAGTACTACCTCTCCTGAATCGAAAGACCATTTAGAAATATTTGCTTCAACTCGAAGAGTTAATGTGTTATCTTTAATTAATGTAAATTAATTTTTTCTTGTTTGTTTCAGATAATCGCTCAAAAATACACAAGGGCTACCTGAGCAAATTGTCTTTAATTTTGAACTGAGGTAATAAACTTTGTTGACAGATCCAACTCTTAACTCCTAGTTCTCTAAATTGATTGTGGATTTTTGTCTGTCAATCTTCCCACAGTCCTAAAGCGTAGAGCGCAACATTTTTTGCGACAACGGGACGCGAGCCATGAATCCTCGGTTTACAATCCGGTACGCTAAAACCCAAGCCTATTAATATAAATAAAAGTATAAATAATTCTGTAACGTATTATCTAATTCCTTGGAACTTTCCTAAGTTTAACTAAGACCAACAAGTCTTTGGTCAATGTCACACTAAAATAAAGTATTAATCTACGTCGCTAGAAGAACTGTACATTATCACATATTCACAACTGTATTCAGCATCAGTGCTTATTAATTATTGTTTAGGGGTTAATGCCACCGAGCAGGGCTTTTTATACTCCTGATGCTACTGTAATTACTATAAATCTTAGGTTTTATATCTGTGAAATTGGTTTGGTTGTTGTCAAGCGCAAATCTATACAATGGGCTATCTGTGCTCTGCCCACTACGGGTTTCGAAACCCGACTTTCAGTGGCGTAAGACTGCAGACTTGCCGTGGGGGGGGGATATAATAGTGACAGAGATATTGACGTCATGAATATACTACCTAGACTGCTGTTCCTATAGATAGATTCCTCCCTAAATACGAGTGATGTTTACTATTAGAACAGAATGTAACTCCTATTTTTAAAGACTCGTAGCTCATAACATACCGCTGTGCCACTGGGGGGGGGGGGGCGTTTGTGATAGTGATTAGTAATCGTAGCATTCATACATAATTGTAAAATTAAACTGCAAAAAATGTAGTTTTTCTGGGAAGTGTTGCACGAGAAAAAAAGTGTTCGGATTGTGCTCTTTAGTCATACGCAACTCATTGCATCAAAATGATTCAATGTACAGGGCTAAAAATTTTCACAAATTTTCCTAATATACTCTGTAATGTTTTTGTATATTAAAAGTGCTGCCCTTTATTGAAAAAAATAATAGCCTTTTTTTAAGAACTCTAGTTTTCTATCTGTAATGTTTTTGTATATTAAAAGTGCTGCCCTTTATTGAAAAAAATAATAGCCTTTTTTTAAGAACTCTAGTTTTCTATCTGTAATGTTTTTGTAT